TTTTTTAGTTGTCCAGATAATTTCTTTCTACTTTTTAGTAGAAACGGGGTCTCGCTCTTGCTCAGGCTAGTCTTGAACTCCTGACCTTGAGTGATCCACCCGCCTCGGCCTACCAGAGTGCTAGAATTACAGCGTGAGCCACCGCACCCAGCCTGGACCAGGTTTTTCATCTTTATTTTTTTCTATTTCAAACAGTAGCATAATTGTTAACTATTATCCATTAATAATATCACTTAAGGGAGCAGATATTCATTTTGCATTTTTATTTCTAAATCAATCCAAGTACCACCTTCAAAAAAGATTGTCCAAAAATACAGCAAGAAAAATATCATAGTCTCTCTTTTAGTATTTAGGGTCATTGCCAGCTTCAATTGTTTCATCTACATCTTTATATAACAGTTAAAGTTTTGAATTTTGCCAATAGTCAAGCTTTCTAAAGAAGTACCCACTATAACATAATTTTCCATTTATAAAAGAATAATATATAATGATACCTTTCAAGTGAGGGCTGTGTACATGCATTCTTTGTAGATGTAGATTTATTGGAACAAATTCTAATGTTTTCTCTCCTTTGCTGCTGCTGGATTTGAAAGAAGACCCTAGATTAAAAAAAAAAAGAAAGAAAGATTGAACATTACTAGCAAATAAACTATTGTGTCTGTGTTGAAAGATATATTTGACCAAAAATGTTACAAGAATTTCAGAAAGAAAAACATATCCTGTATTTATCAGCGGCTTTTCCTCTCAGAAATTCAATTTTTTAAAAAATTTATATCAATTATTCTTACAATACCACCATGTGATAGAATAAGAGAGTTTTTTTCCCTTGTTTGAAGATATTAGAGTGAGAAATAAAGGGTTTTTTTTTTTACTTTTTTTTTAAACTTTGGCTCTCCTATCTCGATAAAATGATGTTTATTTTCATTTTCACATCACATGCATGAAATGCAATTCAGTTTGAGTGAGTAAAGTTGTTTTTCTCACCTGTTTCCTTGCTAAGTTCTGTCAGAATATCTTGGTACATATTCACCATTTGATCACAGTGACTCAGGACATTTTTTCGTAGATTGTCCCAGTGTGGAGAAAGTTCACCAAGTTCTTTTAGCTCCTGGTTTCTGTTAAGAATGGAAAAGAGAAGAAACTATTTTTATCTTAAATCCATAGACACAGAACCCTTAATTAGGGTTGTCAAGTTCACAAAAAATTGTTTCACCATCCTTCTCAGGAAAGCTTTATGAGGTTATTAGGTTAAAATGAAAAAAAAATATCAGTAACACAAAGGAAAAATATGAGTATTTATACCACACAACCGAAAACCATTATGTCAATGGGCAAAAAAAAAAAAAAAAAGGTTAAATTTCCTGACAAAATTTTCACAAAGATGGCAGACTTATCCTTAATATACAGAGAGGACATTCAGTTAAAAAGCAAATACTAAAACCTCAAGAAAAAGATGGCCAAGTTCTAGGCTTCACCTATCCAAAATCAAAAAATGTGAGAAGCACTATCTGACTGTGTTTGATTGAAACGAGAAACACTAAGGTAACTCAATTTATATATATTATAGCTATAATTTTTTTAAAAAAAAGGTAAAGCCTAA